GTAATATTTTTTTTAAGAAAGAATTTTTAGAATCCATATAAGTAAATTTAAAAAATGAGGCCAATATAAAATAATGAAAATGATCAAAATAAAGGCGAGAATTTTAGAACGATTTTAATATAATATTTAAATATCGCCAATATAAATATATATAAATAAATGAAATAATATAATAAATTAAAAATGGACACTGCAAGTTTTTTATCCTGCTCGACAATAAAGTATTTCGGAAATATTTTTTTTTCCAAAATAGCGTAAGACGAACAAGTAATTTGTTAATAATTTTATATCATTTTTTCATAATTATTCGTTTTTATATACTTTGAATAGTGAGTTTTTTCGATGGGAATTAAAGAATAAAAATTGAATCAAATTCAAAATAATATTTAAACCATTGAAATGCTCTCTGGAAAGAAAAGATAGATTAAGAGTTTTTCTAATTTGAATAATGGAAAATAATCCCAGTTTTTAATATAGTCCAAAACATAAAAATTTTATTTTTGAATACATTATCAACTGTCATTTTGGTGTGTGTGTGTGTGTGTGTGTGTGTTATATCATGTGTGTGTGTGTGTAGTGTATTTTGATCTTATCAATTCCATTCAAAAAATTTTAAATTCCTTTATAATTTGTTTGAAAAAATGTGTTTTTATCAAGCCATAATAAACAGACTTTTACTTTATCAATTTTTCAGTTTTTTTACTGATTTGATTTTCCATATATCTTATTTTCCTTAATTGAAGCTTGAAACTTTGACTTTTTTTTTTAAAAGTTTTCAAAGAGTCATAATAAAATTTTATGATTTTGATTTTTCATTTTAATTATATTATTTCTATATATATGTCATTCTAACTATTAGTTTTCAAAAAAGTTCAGAATAATTTTGGACACACCATTTTCCTACATTAGATTTCATTTTTAGCAATTCTCTAGAATTTTACAATTATTTTTGTATAACATTTTTCCTCAAATCTAAATATTAAAACCCCAATTTTCATTCAAAAAAAAAGAATTTGGTTGGTATGTTCTTCCTGTTTTTAATTCAGTTATCCTTCGTTTAACCTATCAATGCTAAGATCTCAGTCTACTCTGCCATTAGGATTGTTTTTCCTTTTCATTTTTTTTTTTTTTTTTATTCAAAATTTATATTCGGGAAGCCACTATATTTAAGGGTTATATATAAATATAATTAAAAATAATAGGACATGATAGAGGAAAAGATGAAGATGAGAAAATTTTATTATTTTTTTTCAATTTAAAAGCCTAATTATTGGTATTTTTTTTTTTTTTATGAATCGATTTAAAAAAAAAAAGAAATATCCTTTTATTTAATTAAAAATATTGACCTTAGGATTTAACCAGATAAAATTAAAAATATCCTAAATCACTGGCTTTGTGCCGCGTTAAACTCTACTTAATCAATTATCAATATTTTTATTTATCAAGAAATGATGAAAGAAGAATATTTAAAATTTGTTTTCTAAATATCATTTTGTGTGTGCAAATAATGAATTTTTAAAATAATAACGGAATCAATTTCCAAAATTTTTTGTTGTTTAATCAAAAAAAAAAAAAAACGGATGTATTTATTGTTATAAATTCTATATATAATCTTTTTGCATTTTTTCTGATATAATATTCAAAGAATATATATCTGATATAAATTTTAATTATTCTTAATATTTTTTTTCTCTTTTATCTTTATTTTGTGTCTTTTTATTTTATTTTTATTTTTTTTTTTTTATTTTTAAATATTTAATTAAATTTTTGTTTCTTTTTAAAGTCCATGGGTTGAAATGTTTAAAATCGACACGCTTTTGAATATTGAATTAAATGTGGAAGGTGCTGTCAATCTTTATTTCCATGTTCTGATAATAGACAAATAAATAGTTCTTCGCGTCCATGTATTTATAATTAATTGGATTTCATAGAAAAAAAAATATCCCCAGAGACGAAACATCGCACGATTTCATTTGCTAATAATTCTAATTTTCATATCCTTTGATAAGATTGAAAACGAACTGCATTCTTTTTTAAAATTAGACAAATCGAAAGGCAATAAAATACTTAAAATCAACTCATTATTTAAAAATATATATGCAAACTTAATAGTTGAGGAATTGGTTATTGAATTGAAATTTGGGGAATGACTTTTCCTATGATAAAAAAAACTTTATATAAATAATTTTTAGATTGATATCTATCTATCTATCTATCTAAAAATCATACAGATCTATTCTAAATTGTTTATTATCTATTTATTTGTCTTTCTCATATTTGATATTTTTCAGATTTTATTCAAATGCTTTTAACAATTTTATCTAGGTGTGGAAAATGATGAAATCAAACTATCTATCTATCTATCTATCTATCTATCTATCTATATATATATATATATATATATATATATATATATTTATATGAATTAATATTATATTAATTTGTATATATATATATAATATATATATATATATATATATATATATAAAAATTAATAATATATATAAGGATGTTAGATAAAATTTGTTTTCTCTATTTATATCTATCTTGCCTCGCATTTATATTTTAAATGATTGGATTTGAATACTATTTGTTGATGAATAAAGAAAAATGGCAAAACATTTTCTATCTAAAATGCTAACTTTTAATAATACTTCGTTTTTATTTGTTCTCGCTTTTTAATTGGGTATTTTTTTTTTTTCAATGTTTTTTTCCAATTGGTTAACAATTTGTGTTTTTATCTTTTTATTTTCTTGATTAAATGAATGTGGTTGAAATTAAATTAATAAAATATATTTTATTTTTAATGTAATTTAAAAATATGGTAAAATGAGATAAAGTAGGTCATATTCGATTGATTATGAGTAAAAAAAAATTTATCTTAAAAACCAATTTTTTTTTTTTTTTTTTCCGTAAAAAAAAATGTAATTGATTTATTTTAAATCTTTTAAAAATTCAATATAATTGCCACAAATTTACGAATTGCCTTTAGATGCAATATTTAACGCATTTAAAAAACATGAATGTAATTTTTAAATGATTTTTTTTTTGTTTAAATTATATTTATTTATATATATATATATATATATATATATATATATATATGTTATATGGTATGACGATGGAAGATATTCGAAAATTAAAAAAAAAAATAATAATGATTATAAAACAAAAATAATTATAATAAAATAATAATAAAAATAAAAATAAAATAATAATAATAAAAAATTACAAAATAAAAATAATAATAATAATAAAAAATAATAATAATAATAAATATAATAATAAATAAATAAATTAATAAATAAAAAAATAAAAATTAATTAATAAATAAATTAATAAATAAATTAATTAATAAATAATTAATAGGAAATAAATTATTAAATAAATAAATTAAAATAAATAAATAAATGATAAATATAATAATAAAGTAATAATAAAATAAAAAATAAAAATAATAATAAAAAGTAATAATATTTATTTTATTTTAGCAGGTCTTTAGACTAAACAGAAGCATGACGATAAAAGATTAAAATTGGAATTTTAGTACACGCATATGTCCCTTTGCAACAAAAATAAAATGGATCTTTTTTTAATCATTTCACCTCAAGCAACGCAATAAAGCCACAAAGACGCAAAGGACTACTGTGTGTGAGAGATTTTAATTAAAAGAAGACATTATAATGAAGAGAAAACAATAAAAGAACAGGAATTAAGAAGACAGAAAATAACGAATGGCATTTTTGAAGATCAGTTAGAAACTGCTAGCGTAGAACTTACGGTTACAAAAATGATGAAAGACTTTATTAGTACTGAACTTAAATTTATAGAGACTAGTTACCATCATCATGCGGCCTCAGCCGAGATCGAACTCATCAATACTTTGATTGGTGTAGTTCGTAATCTTGTCAATTAGCTGAATTCTTGATGCTTCGCTAGGGCTATCAAGGGTGTTTTTTATCGTGACACCAACACTAAATGGATTGCCAACCAAGGCTCAGAGAGACTCCATTCAGCCTCCTCTAAGAGCAGGTTTGAATTCAGAGTTTTCCTTCTCCTAGACCAGTTGCCATATAGAACCCAGTCTGTCTTGCTATTTACCCAGAAGAAAGAGGATTCACACCTTTCCCAAGGGTATTAGCACGTAATTCGACTGGAATTCGAACTCGGCTCTCCGATTCCTCAATCCAAGCCGCTATCCATTACTCCACCGCGCCTCCTTCACCATAAAGCAACGCTTATCAGAACAATTACCTCAAATATATTTATAGAAAACGAACAGAGAAGCCACGCTACAACTACGAATGTTTGTTTAACGGCATATCAATTCCTTATGGGTCATTTAATGTCAAAATTTCATTTTCTTGGTAATTTTTTTTTTTATTTTTACAAAATGGTAATATTTTTTTGATTTTATTTTACACAAATGTATTGCTGGTAATATTTTTACTATGAAAATGTGTGACTGGTATTTTAATATAAAAATCTATTTTTATACTTTTACAGTGTTTTGACCCCATTTTGGGGTGTTAATATTTGCTCATAGCCGGGAACCTAACAAATGCTACCACCTCAGGTCAGGTGTGACCTTGGAACAACAGCAACTAAGAAGTTGTTCCACGCTTTTCAAAACCTACCAACTTGCTGCCGGGTGTAGTTTATCGTCATACCTGGCAGGACGCGCGATGAGAATACGACTGAAGCCGAGATGTAAAGCCAAAACCAATAACATTTTCTTTGTATTTTATCAACAATCTCTAAATCCATAGCAGAAGCAGCGGACCATATGTGGCAGCAATATTCAAAGAATAGACGGATGGTAGACTTGCAAATGTGTAAGATAGATGCTGACTAGAAAAATTGTCTTGCCCGATAAAGTGAATCTACATTCCTGTCAGTAGGCCTAGCAATTGATTCTATATAATCTTTCCACTTCATGTCAGCTTTAGATGGCGCAATGAGCCAAGGTGACTTTACTTTCTTCCCGGCTTTACAAATCAATGTTGAGTGTCTGCCCGTTGACTGCAATTCTGAACACGTTCATCATTGTTGGAATTCACATAAATTTCCTGGGTAATGATATTCTTTCCACTTATATCAAGAAAATATTCGTAGCCCCATATATACATACATACATATATATATATATATATATATATATATATATATCAGTTCGATCGGTTGAATTGGTGACGCAAAAAGGTGGTTTTGTGCTGCCATTGTCGTTTTTAAACTTTCATTTTCAGGCTTTCGAAATTTGTTTTGGAGGTGATTCTCTCGTAATTATATTCTACAGATTTCATAAAATCATTATTCAGACAGCCATGTGGAACAGGGCTGGCCTGGGTGCAGCTAGGGTGCGGCTGAGTCTGGCTGGGGTGGGGGTCTTATACGAAATCTATTATTAGATTTGTCTCTTCTTTAAAGATATTTTGGCTTACGGTCATATCACGTTGAAACGCCGGTACTCGCACGATCACCGTGGTTAAACAACATGGAGCCTGTTCAGTACTTAGATGGGTGACTGCTCGGGAATAAGAGGTGTAATTGGCTTACGGCTATATTGCGTTGAAAAGCCGTTGTTAGTACGATTACCGAAGTTAAGCAGTCTCGACCTTGGTCATTACTTAGAGATGTGACCACTTGGGAATAAGAGAGGCTGTAAACTTAATTATGGTTAAAGGCTTGGAATTAGAAATCCAAATCCGAGTTCCAATTCAAATCGGGTTCGTTATATTCACTTACGCACAAATATCCTTAGGAATCGTATGAATACACTATTCTCCCCTCAACTATGGGTTAATTAGTAAGGTTTGTATCAGTAAATCATAATTATCTCAAAACAGTTCTAACAATCTAACAATATTTTTGGCTTGAAATAACCAGCAAAAGCCATAAAAAAAAAACACAAATCAAATCAATTTAATATTTTCACTATTTCTCCCTCATTTCATTTTTCTCCCATCTTTCTTTCTATTTTTCTTTTTTCTTTTTTTTTCTCTTTCTTTTTGTTTCTTTTTCTTTCTCTTGCTATGTTTTTTTTATTTCGGCCCATTTATTTTCTTTTTATATATCTAGTTGTTTCTTTTTATTCTTCGTTTTTTTATATTTTTCATTTTCTCCATCACCACCACTTATTCTTCTTCATCTTCTTCTTCCATCGTTAAGAACCTTTCTACCATTTATATTTTCACTCTTGCTTTTTAACTCTCTTGCTCAATCTTTCTCAATCTTTTTTATATTTTTTTCTTCTGTTTTCCTCCTTTTTTTCTTCTTCTTCTTACCTTTCTCGTTTTTTTTTTTTTTCTTCTTCTTCTTCTTCTTTTTCTTGTTCTTCTTCTTCTTAAACTTGTTGCTGTTGTTGTTGTTCTTGTTCTTGTTCTTCTTCTTCTTCTTGTTCTCCTTTCTTTCTTCTTCTACGACTTCTTTCTATTGTTGTTGTTGTTGTTTCTTCTTCTTCTTCTTCTTCTTGTTCTTCTTCTACTTTTTTTGCTGTTGTTGTTTTTCTTCTTCTTCTTTACTTTTCTTTTTCTCCTTTTTATTTTCCATAAAATTTATTATTTTCTTCTTGTTCCTTCTTTTTCTTTATTCTTTTCTTAATTTTCTTCTTCTACTACTTTTTTCTGTTGTTTTTTTTAAATCTTCTTCCTTTTTTTCTTTCTTTTCTTTTTTCTTCTTCTTTTTTTCTTCTTCTTCTTCTTTTTTTTCTTCTTCTTCTACTAAGCTTTTTATTTTTCTTTTTGTTATTTCAAATTGTTCTTCTTCTTCTTCTTCTTCTTTTTTTTTTCTTTTTCTTTCTTCAAAAAAAAATTTTGTTGTTCTTCTTCTTCTTTCTTCTTCTTCTTTCTTCTTCTTTTCTTCTTTTTTTTCTTCTTCTTCTTAAACAGTTTTCTTCTAATCTATCATTTTTCTTCTTCTTATTCTTATTAATTATTCTTTCTTGTTGTTCTTGTTGTTGTTCTTCTTCTTCTTTTTCTTTGTTTCTTCTTCTTCTTTTCTTTAGTCTTCTTTTCTTCTACTTGTTCTTGTTCTTGTTCTTCTTTTTTTCCCTCCTCCTCCTTTTTTTTTTCTTCTTCTTCTTCTTCTTCTTCTTCTTCTTCTTCTTCTTCTTCTTCTTCTTTCTTCTTCCATATTTTTTTTATCAGTCCATTGCCTGTGCGTCCAACTATCGAAATAAACAAGATTTTTCGTTTCCTCCTGAATAACAAGTCATTTTTGTATACGTCACAGTCGCCCGCGAACAGAGATTCTTAGAGAGCTCGGTCATCCTGACCACGACAATCATGGCAATCCTGGCACTTAAATCTTTCTCTTTTCGTACTTCAATAAACAACAGACTGATATTAAGATAATTCTATTTCTAGTAATTCTAGTTCTAGTAATTCTAGTTCTTCGTGTTTTCTGTTTGAATTTGTCTTCGCAAATTTGTATATTGCCCTCCTCACATTAAACCATATTCGACACTATTTAATAGTGTAATGTTTCCTTTTAAAATTACCTAGAGAGTGAGGTAAAATCACCCACAGGTTAAGCATCAGGGTGACCCAGAAATATCTCTTAGAGATAGCAGCTAGATACTGTCCGGAAATTGAAATCCTCTGATGGTAGGTATATTTGCATCAATTCAGGGTGTGTTTTTCCCAAAACAATAACAAATATCGCTAATACCAGCGTTGAGAGCCATAGTATTTTTGGACATACTAGCACACATATACACTGGCAAAAATAAGTTTAAGAAGTTTATAAAGTTTTATTCATTTCAGAATGTTTCTAATAAAACAATATAAATTAATTTGATTGTGTACGCTTTTTACAGAATTTATTTCTCTTTTGAATGATGTAAAAATTGTATATTTTTCTACAATTTGAAAAATTTTAAAGATCGATTAATTTAAATTATCTATATTTGCATACATATATCATGCAAATATGAGTTATATTATAAAGGGTGTGATGCATAAATTCTCGACCCTACTATACTGTATTACCCTACTATACAGTACTGTCGACAAAATTAAAAACAAACAACGCGTATGCGACAATTTACCCATCGTACTCGAGACAATGTAAGTATGATTGTGGGATGAATTTAGATTTTAAAGAGAGAAATGGTAACAGAAGATATATAGGTGGGATATTAAACTTTAACAGAGAAGTTTTAGAGAGGTTCCATTGAAAAGGTTTAAGTGAGAATTAAATATGAATGTTGTCGGATATCTAATACATTAAAAGTTTAACTGTAAAGGATACATTTCGTGGTGACATACACACACCATAGACGATCTAATCTTAAATGATCATGTATGTGTTGTGTGTATTTATATGTGTATGGATATATATGTATGTGATAAATATATATATATATATATATATATATATATATATATATATATATATATATATGTATATATATGTATATGTGGATATATTTATAAAATGTGTGTACATGGGTATATATATGTGTGTATGTGGGTACACGCCTATATGTATGTATGTATGTGTATATGTTATTGTGTATGTGTGTATACGCATGTGTTTTTGAACATAAAAAAATAGGTCCTTGCGAGATTAGATAATCGCTATATTTATTTTTTTATATGTTTATATTTGATTTGTAACCTGTAGTCGATATTAATTTTGTCAAATTTTCTTAATTACACAGCGGACCTTTTATAAATGACCTTCGGTTTTAGTTCTCCCACCCATCTCCCCCACCCCGTTTTCTTTTCTTTTCCTCTCCCTCCCTCTTCTTCTGATCTTTAACATTAGATCGTCTGTGGTGTGTGTATGTCACCACGAAATGTATCCTTTACAGTTACATCTTTATTGTATTAGACATCCGACAACATTCATAAACGGATGTCCAGTGCGTTCTGTTGGGGTTTCTTTCAGACTCGATGAATTACTTAATCATAATTATCAAATCCTTCTAATAATTTCTATCACTGTATATCATATATATATATAGGAAGAATGTATGACAAAGCGGAAATTTTTTTCTTGTCACGCGTTTTTTTATTTACTCGATCACCTGTAATGATTGCCACAAAAATACATAGGAGAAACTTCAAGGAGTCTCAATAAAAGATTATATGAAAACAAAAGCGATGTTTTACATAATAATATGTCAAATGCGTTGGTGGCTCACTGTAACGAGATTGGTCACAAATGTGACATAAGAAATGCTACTCTGATCAAAGGTGGAAGCAACTCACTACTAAGAAAATATCTAGAGATTGCTTCGATCGAAGGTCATGTACAATAAATTTGTGACCTGGCTCTTACGACATTTTACCATTCCTGGCAGAACTTCAGTTATCACAGCGTAGGATATCTACTAACAAAAGTGATGGAAAGTAAAAGAAAAATATTTATAATTAAATCGGCTAGATTATATAAAAAAAAAATTCCCAGCATCCCTCGTTCGTGCGCATGTGCAGTCGCACCAACATAACAAATTTAGTCCGATGAATTCCTAAAGGACGAAACGCGTCACAAGCAATTTTTTCCACTTTGTCATGTATTTTCCCCCAATATTGTTCGTGATATATAAAAATATATATCGTTATCGAGATTTATTGTAAATTAATACAATTATGGCACTAATTTTTTTTCTGAATTGGGATGGTCTTCACTAACTATCTTATACCTAGCTAATTGGATTCAAGACCCATTCACTCATTACAATTTCCATATTCACCATAAAAACTCATCCGTCGCCAATCAATCCTCCATAATATCACATCCTCTCAGGGGCTTAAAAAACATCCCAATGAGATGATAAATATTATTTACAATATATATATATATATATATATATATATATATATATATTATATCTGAATCAAATAAATATTTGGACAACGAGTCAGATCACTTTAGATCACTTTAGGTTTGATTAAAAAAAACATTTTTTTATTATCTATATCTCTGAGATGAGGTATTATGATTACTTGCATTATTTACATTATTCGGGCTGCTATTCTACTGAAGAGGCACGGCACGTGGAACGAGAACAACATATCTCGGCTAACGAAATAAAGGGTTTGACTAAAAATTCCAATCATCTGAAGATGGCCGAAACGTTGCGAATATAGCAATGAAAATGAGGATAACAGTCCGAATAAAGTAAATAATGCAAGTAGTCATAATATATCATCACCGAGATATAGACAGAACCAACAATGTCTGTCTGTTTACGTTTTTTTCCAATTTTTGAATAAGGAGTTGAGTATTGTACTCAAAGTTATGGATAAATTGTCCAAAGTTCATATTTTCTTATTTTCGTTCAGGTACTTTCGACATAATGTGGTGACTGTGTTAATTCCGTTGTTTACATCCTGTTATTCTTTGGGATGCTGGGTATTTCAAATGGTCTTGCCTGACGTCATGTGTAACGACAAGTGGGAACGAGGTCTGCAACTTCGAGCACAATACTCAACACTTTATCCGAAAGTTGGAAAAATGGAATAAAAGATTAAACAGACGTTATCAAATTTATTTATATTTATATATATGTGTGTAATATTATTATCTACAAATGAACTCTGAGAAAACATGTTTAAATATCTACAGAGAATTAAGAAAAATTGGCACCTAATACTTATATTAAAAAGATTTTATTCCAATATATATATATATATATATATATATATATATATATATATATATATATATATATATATATATATATAAAATTATTTAAAATATGATTCCATCGAGCACTATTTTTTTAAAATAATAACAAAAATACTAAAGAACTTTGGATTATTTACCTAACAAGTTCTTTCCTATTTTCTATATATTTTCACACACACACACACACACACACACATACACATATATATATATATATATATATATATATATATATATATATATATATATATATATATATATATATATATATATATATATATATATATTTTAGGCAGAAATTTTTCATTGATGCATGTTTCATTAAATAATATAAACAAGTTCTGGCTATTTATTTTAAGTAAGTTCCTTTCATATTGTCTGATAAGCTTAATAACATTATCACTGAAAGACGATAGGAAATCACCATATTGATACATGTTTAAATCCTATCTAAGCTTTCGCCTTACATAAGCCATTATCAAAGATGACAATTACTTTTCAAAAAATCAACCAATATACGGAACAATAATGATAGTCTGTTTTTGTTGCATGAAAAATTTCAAAGAAACGTGTATTGGTTAAAATCGTTTTGTACCAACCCCACTGTCTTCCCAACTAAGTAATGCTGAGAGGGAAAAGATCATTCAGCTTTTCAGTAATGGTACCAACATTCATACTCTGGCTTCCATCTTCAAAATCCATTCAAGAACCATCAAGTGGGAAAAGTAGAGAGGAAAACTGGATGAGGAGGACATAACAGGAAGAGGGATCATCATTTCAACTTAGAGCTAAAGAGATCAATTAGAAAAAAATCCAACTCAAATCATAAGATGTTTGGCCCTTGAGAGAGGAGTTTCAGCTATGTGAAAAAAGACTTGAAAAAAATGAAATTGTATTGTTTGTGAAACCTCAGAGGCAATTTTTTTCTCCAATTTAAAAATTTAAAAACATTAGAAAGGGCGAAGATCATCTTGAATAAGTTAAAAAATGATCATAGATATTATATATATATATATATATATATCCATTCGAAACTTTCTTCTATATTATATTAACCTTGAGAAATTTTACATTCTAATTGCTCAAAAGATAAGGTTCATTATATGTTATAAAAAACTTCAAAGAATGCCAGTAATATATTTTTAAAAATGATTTTATCCAGAATATAAGTTTAAAATTCAGAAGGCCGAAGATCATCTTTAATTCAAAAAAAAAATGATTCGTTCATAATATATATATATATATATATATATATATATATATATATATATATATATATATATATATTCGAACTTTATTTCAATCCTTTATAAAACCCGATCCTTATTGGCTTTGATTATTTAATGATGATTTAAAAATGTCATTTTTTATATTTATGATCATTTCATCACGATTCTTCTGTTAACCTTGAGAATAATTATACATTCTAATTGCTATTTAAAAATTATAAAAATTAGTGTTATAAAAATTTCAAAAAAATAAAAAAAAAAATTATTCTTTAATCCTTTCTCAAACACAGCGGTTCGAAACTTAATTTAATAAATGAACAATTTTTAAAATCATTATTACGATTTGGACAATTTTGCTATTTATATAATTTTTATAAACATATATATATATAATTATATTTGGAAAATGTCAATTTTATATGTTTCCCGATAATCGATTTCATCAGGAAAATAATTTATTTTTCAGAAGACAAAAATTGTCGTTATAGAAAAATTAGATTTTAATTTTAAAATGTTTAAATTTTTTATCAATATTATCAAAAAATAAACAATGTCTAAAAATTACATTGTTATTTTTTTCTGTATTTATTAATTAAAAAAAATATATTCCAATAAATTCAACAAAAACGTAAATTATATAAAATTTAAATTTTTTGTTTTTATTTAATGTTTTAAAAAATATTCAAAATATAAACATTTGGCAAAGAAAAGAAAAAAAAAATAGATTGATTCTATTTACAGACGTTTTATTCCTTTATATATTCAGTCATTAATTGCCAATGAAATATACTAACATTATTAACATATTTTTATTATATATATTTTAATTGTAACTAAAATAGACTTTTTCTCGTTCGTTTCGCAACATCAAGGAATGATTTCTTTCTTTTCGAACATATATATATAAATATCGGATTCCATCTAAATTGCATATATTTTTATTAAATAAACAGCTAATTTATATATCATAGCTGGGGAAAATATTAAAAAAATCCATATCTTTCCCAAGGAAATTATGCAAATTTGAATGTAATCTTTATTTTCAAATCTTGTTAAATTCCTCAAATCTCAAAATATATATTTTTATATAACAATATAAATTTACTGTATTTGAAATAAAATTCTCATATTAAATCTTTATTATATATATTTTTTTTTTTTTATATTCTTAATATTAGGATAACAATGGTTAAAAATTATATATTATCAAATATATATATAAATTTTATCAATGAGTTGGAACGGCATAATTCACTTTTAAAATTGCGAATATATTGCTTTAAAAAACACGTACGAACGATGTCCTTGGAAATTAAACAAACAAAAATTTTCAATCGTCAGTGGACCGGGAAAAAAAAAATTATAATCTATTGGAAACGTAATTATCGCGCATAATCATATCTTTGAAAATATAAGATTTAAATATATGAGGCATTTAAAAACGTTTGAAAAATGATAAAAAATTATTATAACGCCACCTAACAGCGTTTTTATTTTTAATGATGGTAAAATATTTATATTCCTTTCTTATTTTATGTTATTGTTTTTCTTGTTAGGACCAACAATAAAAAACAAAGTTTGAAAGAGGAAATAGAATTAAACAAATATATTAATAATATCCGTATATAATTAAAATATAAAAAACAAGAAAATTATAGTAAAATTATGTCAATTTCACAAAATTCGACTGTCAAATTAACAAATAAAATCTTCACATTTCAAAGCAGTATATTTTATGCTTTTATTTTTTTTTGAGTTCATACATGCGTTAAAAAATTAGTAAAAATTTAACATTTAACATCATTGGGGAACTGTATTCCTTTTTTTCTATTATTCTTTATTATGATTTTATATATCAATTTGCTATCATTTACATAAATCATAAAAAGTGGGTCGTCTTCAACCCATTCATTTTGTATTAAAATGGTGTTTTCCAGGTTAATGATCAACATAAAAATAAATAATTGTTTTCAAATTCGCAAAAATCAAATGCATGATTAAAAATGTCCAAAACATAATGAAACAAACTTTTGTCTCCAAATAGTTGTTATTAAGAGAAAACACCAAATAATTTTTGAAGGATTTTTTTTTAATTCATTTTTATAACTTTGATTAAAAAACTTGGTGTCAACGGAAAGACCATCAATTAGGAAATTTGAACTGAAAAGTCAAATAATTGTCAGATTTTGACGAAATTTTCAGTACTTATTCAAAATTGAAATTATTTTTAAAACCTTTCTTTTTAAGAAAATTTTGGTAAAAATATTTATTTTTGACATTTGTTACTCCACACTTATTTAATTCTATAAAATTTCAAAATATTATTTTTTTAATTTAGGGCTTAATGATTATATTAATAAATAAGGATAAGTCCTTGAAATTTTTAAATCATCAATTTTGGGGTCAAACAAACAAAAATTAAGTTACATATATTTTCTGCTCTGAATCGTAAAAATAAAAAATGCATAAATTAAAATTTTTTATTGCAAAAATATATGTCTGGTTATTGTTTTAAGAAAAATATGTCAAAAAAAATTTCCTCAATTTTGCAATAATTGTTTTTTCATTTTTAAATTATTTATTATTAGATATTTTATAAAACTTATAAACTTTTTTTTTTATTCTGTATTTTCTCCAATTTGTCAAGTGATATTGTTCTTAAATAAAAACTATATTTTTAATCATCACAAATGGAAAAAGCTTTTATATGTCACTCGGAGATAAAATTCCCCTTGTATGCCGTCGGCATAAACAGGGAAGAAGGTGAATTTAAGCGTATTTTTTTTTTTCCTGATAAACACACAGTGACTGAAGAGAACTCGATTCGATTTACCGAAAGATTAATATATATAAACATGATTTATAATATTTTCTACCATTTCTGGTAAACTGAAAATCTGATGGAAATTAATTTAGTAAAGATAATTGTCAACTTGTTTTTTTAGTAATTTTTTATCACAAAAATTTTTAAATTATGAAAATTAAGAAGAAGACAAAAAAGATAGATGTTAGGGTGAGTATTCATCTTCTTTTTTTTTTTTATAGTCAGTTTCTCCGAGCATTTGGATAAAACATTTTATATTGAAGGACTTTTTTTAACTAACCAGACTCAGATTTTCCAATTGCAAAGTGTTAATTCTGCCCAACGCGGCTGCAGACAGAATCGACGACAAGCAAATAAAAAGTTCCACTTCTGCTCATTCTAAATTTTGCACACATCGACGAAATCGATTATGGTCGATCAAGATGACGGAACAATTGGCTAATTTTGAATCGGCAGACCAGCGCAATTTGGTCGAAATTTTGCCGTCGTTGGCCAAGAATTTTAAAAAGATCAGGCCGATACCGAACTGCCATACGTGTGTAGTCTATGGCGGAGAAATAACTCGTGGACCATTTTGGACATTGGTAAAGGTGAGATTCGATCAAAAGATGATTGCTAATAAATTGGCCGAATCAAAAATCCTCAGACAGTTGGAGAATTTAGTAAAATGATTAATGGCAAAGAGCTTTAAATGAATCTTTTTGTTTATTTTTCATGTCCTTTTTTTTCCGCGAAAAAAATATTAAGTTCAATGCGATTTTTACCAAAGGTGAGCAATCAGTTTTAATTGTAAAATTAATATTTCTGGGCTTTTTTAAAATTCATTTTAATAGTCATTGGAGGGCATTTTTTATTTCATTTTTTTATTATTTTATTTATGGGTGACAAGACCTTCCTTTTATAATAATATATTTTTATTTATTTTCTAAATGTTTTTTTCTTTTTTTTTATTTAATAATTTTATATATATATATATATATATATATATATATACATATTCGTCCTTTTTTTTGATTTTTTATAAAATAAAACTTGTTTCTTTTTTTTTTTATCATCCTTAACTTTTAAAGGATTTCTCTCATCTTTAAATTTTATTTCTGACTTTTTTTCTTTCCTTTTAAATTAAATTATTTAATCTTGTTTAAATTCTCATCTGCTTTTTATTTTCTTCTTCTTCGTTATTATCATTACCTTTTTCATCACGCTTACTTTTTCGTCTTCTTTTTATCTTCTTCTTCATTATTATTATTATTATTATTATTATTATTATCATTCTTTTTCACCTCTTTACGCTCTTGTCTTTAAATTGTTTATTTTTTTATTATTATTATTATTATTATTATTATTATTATTATTATTATTATTATCTTTGATTTCTGGCGTTTACACATTTCTTTCCGGGTCCCGCCCAGGGACCTAAGGTTAGAAATGGCGTCATGACACTTTCCACTGACAAAAAAAAAATTAAATTACATAGATAAAGCCCTTCGTAAAGTGTGGGCTGTACTTGTCAGAACAATTTTTTGTATCTCCTTGAGGCATGGACTTCCAGGAATCCCTTCAATTAGTCTACTGCAATCTTTTCCAACCAGTCCTAGGGCTCCAACTACAAAAGGGGATTGTTGATGTTCCCATATGCCACATTTTCGAGATTTCTATTTCAAGGTCCTTGTATTTTGACAACTTTTTGAATATCTTCAAAGATACATTGCAGTCAGCAGGGACTGCCATATCAATAAGGAGGCACCGTTTTTGTTTTGTGGTCTTTAATAACAATATCTGGCCGGTTGGCCTTTGATTGTTCTGTCAGTGTGTATTGTGTAGTCCCATAGAATTGTAACAGGTCCTATCTCCGTAACCGGGTCTGGGTGGTGTTCATACCAGTTTCTTTCAGTTTCCTTCCGTAGAAGTTGCAGATTTTCCAGTGCAGATATTGGCCCACTCTGTCATGTCGGGTTTTATATTCAGTGGGTGCCAACACCGTGCAACCTGATACAAGATGATCAATCGTTTCTGGATATTTATCACAGAATCTGCATTTTGGGCTGACACAATATTTTAGTATATGTGCTTGATAATTCCTAGTTAGCAAGCATTGGTCCTGCGCAGCAAGGATAAAACCTTCAGTTTCCGCTTTCAACCCTGCACTACGTAGCCACTGATGGGTACGGGATTATTATTATTATTATTATTATTATTACCCTTTTTCATCTCGTTTACTCTCTCGTCTTTTTTTTATTTTTTTTTCCTTCTTTATCATCATCATCATCATTATTATTATTATTATTAAGTAGTAGTAGTAGTAGTACCCTTTTTAATCTCCTTTACTCTCTCGCCTTCTTTTTATCTTCTTCATTCTTTTTTATCCTTTCTTTTTTCCGTTTAACATCCCCCACCAGTTCTTTTCTGTTTCTTTCTATTTTCCTATCTTCTCTACTTTATCGCTCCTCCTCCTCCTCTTCTTCATCTACTACTACTACTACTACTACTACTACTACTACTTCGCTTCCTCCTCTTTCTTGATTGTCATTTCTCTCATTCTACTACTCATCATAACCAGCTTTATCTCCTCGACATCGAAGAAAAAGCAGACACCTCATGACCTCGGCTTTTGCACCTAACCACCAAGCTGCATAGCCCAGTGAGTCCACATTTCTAAATGAAGGTCATGTGATGACTAGTAAAAGTACCCTGGTTCGTCCAGACTCTTCATTTCCTGTCAGGTGAGGTCAGAGATTAACTGAGTAACGCCGAAGTTGGGACAGAAATGAGGTCAGCGATCTGTCTGTGAAAAGCGGGACTAACTCTCCGTCGAAATCCATGGCTTCAGTCCTTTGGAATCTTCTCGTTGTCTCATCTTAATCTTCTTTCTCTTTTCTTCCACACTGAATGCCACTCAGAAGGACGAAAAACTAAGACGGCCATATTCAGCTGCGGAAAGGAAAGTTCTCTTTTCTTTTTTCTTAATTCTTTTCTACTCTTTCCTTATTTCTTATCTGTCTGTTTTCTTTTCATCTCAATTCCTTTTTCTTTTTCTTTTTTCTTATTTCTCATTTTCTTCTCTTTTCATTGAATTATATCATTTTTTCTTCTCTTCTCTTTCTATTATTCTTCTCTTTGCTTCTCATCTCTTTCCTTTTTCTTCTTTCTTTCTTTTTCTTTTTTCTCTCTTTTCTTTTCATTTATTCCTTCTCATTTTCTACTCTTTTTTTCTCTTATTTCTCTCTTTTCTCATCATCTCTTCTTATTCTTCTCTTCTCTTTTTTCTTATTTCTTTTTCTTATTTCTCTCTTTTCTTTTTTATTCTTATTTCTCCCTATCCTTCTCTTTTCTTTTTCTTCTCTTTCTTTTTTCTCATTTCTCGCTTTTCTTCTCTTTTCTTTTTCTTATTTATCTCTTTTTGTCTATTCTCTTTTTTCTTATTTCTCTCTTTCCTTCTCATCTCTTTTCTTATTTCTTCTCTTTCCTTTTTCTCATTTCTCACTTTTCTTCTCTTTTCTTTTTTCATATTTCCTCTCATTTCTTTTTCTCATTTCTCTCTTTTCTTCTCTTTTCTTTTTCTTATTTCTCTCTTTTTGTCTCTTCTCTTTTTTCTTATTTCTCTCTTTCCTTCTCATCTCTTTACTTTTTCTTCTCTTTTCTTATTTCTCTATTCTTTTCACTTTTCTTTCTTTTCATTTTTCTCTTTTCTTCTCTTTCTCTTTTCCTTTTCTTATTTCTCTCTTTTCTTCTCATCTCTTGTCACGATTATCTTTATTTTTAATCTGGTTCTTGTATGGAATCCCGTATTTAGAAAATATTAAGAGAGAATAAATCATAGAAGTTCTTTTTAAATTCGAAAAACCAATCTTCTCAAAATATGAATTAGACAGCCGAAGGGAAATAGACAAATGAGACTGGCATATTAAGTCGAGAAATGTTCAGATGGAACAGCTAGACAATAGATAGATAGATAGATAGATAGATGATGTTAGGCAATTACTTCACATTAGCTTCGTTAATTCCCTGCCGATAATTGGGCTTTTTAATTTAATGGCAGATATACATTAAAAAGGTAGACAAACGTTGAAGATAACGGCTACAAGTGACAAAATTTTAAAATTGGGGAGAGCCATTACCATCAACGTCCTAAAGCCACCTAATTGTTTTATCATGAGATGTAAATATATTTTTACCTCGTTTAAAAAATTAGATTTCTAAAGTTGCTAAACAAAACAAACAGGAAATTTTTTTCGTTGCGTACACAAAGAGAGCCATGTGACAAATATCAATTAAAATTACCACCTGCTTTATTTCACCTCTCAGATGAGGATTAAACTGGCGGCAAACAATATTTTAACCAAAAGGTCAGAAACGTTGCTAAATTCTCCAAGCAGGATAGGAGGTTGTGGAGAGCTTCAGGAACCGTCAAACCTTTTCCTGTTTGTTTCATAAAAAGGAATTGGAAATTTTTTAAAGGAAATGAAAAAGTTTGCTAATCTGTCTATTTTGAGATGAGGTTTGTATGTACATTATTTATTTACCGACAACGTCCTCAAAAGCCACCTTACAACGTTTCGGCCATTAAAGTGTTCAGTAGGTTTTGAAAAACCCTTATTTCGCTTACGTTGGGTAACGTTCTAGTTTCAAAGTGGATAAAAGAGGTTGATCCAGTAACAGAACTAAAACCGTCAACGCCCTAAAAGAGGAAAATTACCTGGGGTTTATAACTGACATCCATGAAAACATGGCAGGTTTAGCAAAAATCTACAAACAGTGAGCTAACGGTTCAGTTCAATTGATAACCACCAGGTTGTGGCCTGGCTATTAACGAAAAAAACGTCCTAAATATGGCGACAAAAGATGTTTATGAACTCCGAAAATGTAAATCAGTATAATTTTTAATAGGTACAATCGTTGACATCATATCGAGCTACAAGTGATATATATGTGGATATATATTATCGTCAACGTCCTAAAAATGGATGGCTGTTTATGAATTAAAAGATACAAGCATTAATAACGGGCTTTTGAAAAAGGTATA